ACAACTACTCGTTTCAGTAGTGTTCTTAGCTGCGAGGATCTCTTAATTTCAAATCTTATGTAGTTTTATGTATTTGTCGAAGTTGATTTCCTTTCCGAGACAGTTACACTTAATAACTAACTAGTAAATCCCTAGGCCGTTCTTGCCTCTACAAAGTGTAAAGATTTTTTAAAGCTCACTTGCAGTTGACTTCTTATCAACAGAACGGGTTTCATGTACTTAACTGGCATCGTTTCCTACCTTGTGGCATGGCTAATTCTTGGACGAGATAGCCGTGATCAGTTAACAAAAGAAAGCTCAATGAATTTTATGGTAATTGATAACATCCACATGATTCTAGTGCTGCCACTGACTATTACTATTCCACTGTTGTTTCTTTCTCTACTTACTTTCTTCCTGTATATCGGACACAGAGCATTAAGGGGTATCCGAGCTTTCAGCTTGTGGTTGATGGGCTCATGTCCATTTGGAGTTATCTCTTAAGCCTGTTTACATGAAGGTGGGGAACCTCAGGTGAGGTAACCCGCCTGTCCATATGATTTCTTATTTCATTTTGATCACGTTTAAATGATAGGTGGGGTGACCCGCCTAGGCGGGTTGCCCTGTCTGCCAGGTAGGGTAGCCCTGTCAGCCGGGGTGACAATTTGCCATGTAAACGTGTCAAGGTGGGGTAACCCGCCTAGCCGGGGTCGCGTTCATGGCAAAAAGCTCAAAAGCTCAAAAGTATGTTTTAAAACTTTGTACATTTCTTAGCCGTTTCATGGCAGAAATCACCAGAAACCGCAACGGACATACAAGGAGTTTGAAATGATCACATTTCGGAATATTTAGAGTTGGTTTCCCAAACTATTCCGTATAACGTATCAAGTCAAATAAGAAATTATATGGACAGGCGGGTTACCCCTCCTAGGTGGGTTACCTCACCTACCTGGGGTCCCCCACCTCCATGTAAACAGGCCCTAAGACAACTTTATCCTTTTTGTGTCTATCACTGAATTCACTTAACTGCAGTTCTGATGTCTGCTCATCTACAGGTGATAACCCTGATCTTGACAGGAGTAGGACTGATTTGCTCTACCATTTTCCATTTTGGAACCAAAGAACCTTCAGACGATTCGGGGGAAAACAGGCGGTCTAGGTCAATTGCAGATTATATGGTAAATTTTGGAAACGTCGCGATCAATACAATTGTTTAGTCTGACTCTAAATTATGAGAAAAACGATTAAACGTTCATTTGCCCACCTTAAAAAAAAGGAGACAGAGAAGGAGCTACCTGAGTAACCACACATTTAATGGACATTTGTCCATCGTTTCCCTTTTAATAAAATGCAAGCAAAAATTTCGACCCGCTCATTCGCTGAGAACACGACAATTTATCCCGAACAGTGCAGAAAATTGAAATTAAATTGATTTACTGGTAAGTCGCGATAGCACATGAAAACAAAATGATAGACAGGTCGAAAGAAAGTTGAATGTTTTAATTTAGGGTTTGAAGGAGAGCTCTAAGAATGAAACACCCAACGAAGCGCAAACAATTGGCTAAGAGTGGGGAAGTCTTGGGCACCAAAAACGGTCGTAACAAAAGTATTGAAGGCCATAAGAAAATTCGCGTGGAGTTTACGCGACAGTTCGTGAAAAAGAATGACGGGGAATGTTACAAGTGTGATAGCCTTTGCGTACTGATTACTGCTGTTAAAGCTATTTTCTGATTACTGCTATTAAAGCGATACCTAACTGAGAAAGCCAGCAAATGCTCGATTTTCTTAAAAATAAGTTTAAAAGAAAACAGAGTTAAATTTTTGTCTTTGAAAAATGTACGAGTGCTGATTTATCTAAAATTACATTAAAAATCATGTGGCTACCTAAGCTTTTCGAAGTCTTTATTTGCATGTAAATGTAAACGTTGGGTATAATTTGAAACAATTATATGATCCTTACCAACGGAATTTGGAATCTTGCCACTGCATCGGAGAAGGGATTTTTTCACACCACAGAACTGACCCCCATTGTTACTGTTAACCACCTTACTGGAATCATGATTGCACTTTATCATGACTACGTCTACAGAATTTTTGAGAGAAAATTGCGCCGTATTTCACTCACTATTATTATCATTTCTGATGATCTTTTTCAACTGATGTACCGCATACATTTGTTGCAGAGAGAAACCTCCTTTATACCATCACCCGTTGTGTTACAGTCATTCGTGTATTTTGACAGATGTAAGTTCTTATTCATTATTTATAAGATCGTGTAACAACTCACTTGTTTTTTTTTTTTTTGTAACAAAGTTTCCTTTCATTTTACTCCCTAAACATTTTCTTAATTCCGTTCTGATCTCAATGTTTTTATAAATTGATATATGACGCCGTTTTTGTTTTTTCATCAACCATAGATCAACAGCGAAAGGAAAACGGTCGGGGAGTAATGGAAAATGGACAACAAAAGTCAGAATTGTACAACCAAGGTCACAAACTGACCTCTGGTCTTGACAATCAAGGATTCGATTTAAAAGAAACACAGCTTAACCAACATTCTCAGGATGTTAGCCAAGATGAGGGAAGAGCTATGCCATCTGTTGTTTCTGATACTGAATCCGCCCAACCACCAAAACGAAAGGCAGTGAGAACCTGGCTCAAAGATCCTCATTTGTACAAGGTTACTTAATTTCTGGTACAATGAAAATTTCTTTAACACTGACTCGTTCTTTCCTGAATAATTTTAACTTTTGCGTGCATGTAATCATAGTGCACTTGAGTACCTGCAATGTAATCTTCAGCTTTCACACTAAAAAATGCCTATTGCAGATGATCCAGGGAGAAACACAAACCAGGAAACACATGATTTTTCTCTCCACCATTAAATTGCGTTTGAGAGATTATGACACCAGCCGTGAGAATTCAAAAGGCAGCCTAACTTCTCGAAAATTGTCTATAAAGGTGCTAAAAATCCGATTCGAGTCCCGCTATGTTTGGCCTCTTACCTGTGACGTGAAAAAGTCTCAGTTTCCATGTTTTCCTTTTCATGGCGATTTCTTTGCATAGTTAAAAGTTCTGAAAAAAGTAAATTTTTAAGTAAAAGAAAGTTTGGTTTTTTTTTGCAATAACCAATGTAACCACTACTTGTGAGCCGCGCGTTACATATTTGTGCAAGCGGCCAGGTTACTGAGCTATTTTCAAAACGGCGGCATCCATAGTCTCCCACCTCGGAGGACAAAATTTGAACAGTTAGGATACTCTTTGGAATCCAAAAAACGCGGTGAGTAAAACATTTCTATACACACCGGATTTTCATTATTAAGTAGTAAAGGACAAAGTGGTTTCCGGAACATACTTCTTCGTTATTATATTGTAAAAAACTTTAGTGCAGGTAATACATCGTAAATTAGGATATTGTCATAAGTGAATTTCTGGAACGGTTGGACGTGGTTATCTACAAATGTAGTTCACTTGTCTTTTTTTACAGGTCGCAATTATTTACGCGTGTACAAAGGGTTCACAGGATGTGTTTTACGCTTATCTGCCCCTACTCCTCACTGACAAACTGAAATTTGAAAAGGTATGTACCAGCAAACTTTTAAGAATTTCCCTCGTTGATTTATTGTTCTGGGCTTGAAAGATACTAAACGTTATACTCGATTTTTCTGCAATGGTTAATCAACTACCTGCTTACTCGTCCATTCTCATTTCCTTTCTTCCTCCTTCACCGTCCATTAGCCAACTTTACATTAAGACGGAAGAAGAGACAGACAGGCAGATACACACGACATGCAGACAGACAGGCAGACAGAGAGACCGGTAGACAGACAGATAGACAGACAGACAGACAGGCAGACACACGACGGACAGGCAGACAGACAGATAGATAGACAGACAGACAGAAGGACCATCACTTAATTTTTTAAACATTTGAAGGAATTGAGTAAAAAATTAAGTAGTTGTAGCAAATTACTATTCAGAGTGGACCACGAGTTAAACATCCCGAATCGCTTTCCTGTTAGCGTTCAAACCCTACTATTTATAGCCAAGAAACTTACTCTGTCAATGCCCCACTTACTAAGAATAAAAAATCACAAGGTAAGGACGACTTGATGCTAGTTTAGGCATTACCAAAAGAGCGAAAGATAACCGTCATAATGACTACAAACCTCCTTCAGGTTTCAGGTAGAAGCTCTACCTACGGAAAACTAGTTCCTCTTGTGAGGGAATTAAGTTGCACGTACCCGATTGGTATATATGGGAGAATCAAGGATTCGACAAAATGCAAATTTGATAAAAGCAAGACAATCAATTCGAAACCCCCGAGAAAGCTTGTAATTTCTATAACCTCAGACGTTTGTGCTTTTTTCGAAGGAAGCGATTGCCAATCTGCCATTGATATTGTTAGTGAGTGCCACACTGTCCTCTCAAATATCAAGGAAGCTCTCTGGAAAAGTAGGAAAAAAGGTAATGAAAAGAAAAAATATATATTTTCAGGTAATTTTCAAATGGAAGCGATGTTCGTGGACAAAATTTGAAGCTGATAACCGAATAGCAATTTAATTACCCTTAAATATCTGGTCTCAAACGCCAACAAGCCGGAGCTAAGCAGTTTGCGCAACTGGATCTGACTACGACACAAAGTGAATCGATTTAAAATCCAAAAAACGTTCTCTCTCTGAACTCAGCTGCAATTTTTTCAAAAACGTAAACGTTACGTACTAATAGTGTCACATCGTAGTTTCATTTGAGCTTTTTTTATCGTTACCGAGATCACATTGACTAGTATTTCTTTTTACTTAATTTCTATTGCTCCGGAGAAGTGTTCTCTTGCAGCCAAAAACAACTAAACCCAGCTCAGCAAAGCTTGGATGGTTATTTTCCATATAAGGTTATTCGGTATATAAGCTGGTGACCAGCACCGAGTTAAGCAGTCAGAAAACTGGAAATATAATATTCAAAAGCGACAATTTAATGATATATGTATTAGCTATCTGTTGAAGCTCCTCATCCTGTTTCAGTGGTCCTTCATTGTGGCTGCTCTGACCGTGACTGGATCGTGTTTGTGGTTTCTGCGTATTAACCAGTCATCGAGAGTGTTCACTTACCCAGCCGTCGTTCTACTGGGGTTTGGGTCCTCCGCCATGTTTGTTAACGCACTTGGCTTTGCAACAGAACTCATTGGAGACAACAAAGTAAGTTGAAGAACTCTTTATTTTGGCTTTGATCTAAATTTTCATAAAACTAATGATAACTATACAAATCCAATTGTGCTTTAATACTAGGATTGTAAGATCACGCTACGAATAGTATAGTTATTAAAGATTTTTTACCTTTCTTCTTGTTTCATATCAAACTCTTTCCCCAGTGCGACGAACATTTGTTTTTCTCGGTTCCAGGTGTACGCAACCACTAACCCCACGTAATGCGCATGCTCTCTGTTACGAATTTTCAAAATGGCGGACAGGTCAAAGAGGGAAATTAAAAAAACAAAGCGATTTTGCAATGAATTCTCAACATACACCCTCGTTAGAAAGGCGAATCCATGGAAGAAAGATACAAAACTGTATGATATTGAGATCGATATGATATTAAATCGATACCGAGGGCCCGTTTAATTGCCTTCCGCCATGATTATTAGCTTTCTTGACAGCTTTCTGAAGACAGAATACTTTCTTTCTGAAGACTTCTGATATGCGGCTATTGATTATTACACCTCGTATACCTGATTGCTCAAACACTTTGTTTACGATTGTTGAAAGGATCGACTCATGGTTCTGCGTCTTCGTCTTGACATTGCTTTGAAATAGTATAGACTAGTAAGCTGAAAGGAAAAATTAATCAGGGAAGTTTACGAAAAATCCAGCAAACAAGCTTTAAAAAGGCATTTATTTAGACTTCATACTTCAACGAACTTCACAAATCTTACTTGTTTATCTTGTAAGTAAACAATGGCAGATTAATTCCCGAAGCGCTTTCTGAGTTTCCCGATCCCTGTCCTACTGTTTTCACGCTTACAAAACAGGAAAAAACAAAAGGAGGAAGATACAGCTGTTTTGAAACGCCATTTGACGAAGGCAAATCTACTTTTTGTTCCACACTTTACATATCAAAACAAAGGAAATTTATTCCTCTTTTTTATTCTGGCGGTACATTTTAAATTTGCGCCTGCGTAAAAGAGATATTGACCGAGACTCTTCGCTCGGTCGTGTTTTGATCAAAAACGCCTTGTTAATTTCACGCAACCGCTCGGAGAAAAGGTCAAAATGACTGAGGGAAAAAACTTTACCTTCAAGTTAGAAAATTACCGAAATAGAAAGCCATAGTATTACAGTTTAATATTTCAGAGGTACATTGAGTGCTTTTTCCGTAGAGAATCCGCACGATGGTAAAACATTCGAAAATGACACTCGATTTGAGTGGGGTGTTGAAGTGGGCGTGGTCACTACATTCATGTTAAGACTATTTGTACCCCATGAGTTTGAAATGAAACTAATCCTTTTTATTGGATCAATTTTTCTGCAGGGCAGCTCTGGTTTTGTGATTTCTGTCGTAGGTACCACCTCCAATCTGACCTCAGGGACTCTTTATATTGTCATACAAGTTTTATTTCCTAGAGGAAGGTAAATTTGGATTTTTTTGCTTTGAGATAAGAATTATTTTTATCCCTGTAAAATATGAAGGGATTTTTAAAACAAAATGTGACATCCCAGCCTGTTAATTTTTCTTTTCTTCGTTGTTCTTTGTCCTTCCTTAGTTTCTTTCTTCGTCCATTTTCTATCGCGTTTCTAATTTTTTTTCGGTGTTATACATGTTCTTCTTGACTCTTTGTTCTTCTTGTTATTCAACGCTGCTGCTATAAGTCTCTTCTGTTGTTCCTCCTTAGTCCCTACCAGGCTCCTTCCTCCATCCTGTTCAACAATAAATTCCACCAGCATCTTATGGTGCATAGGATGCGTTCCAGGAGCATTAAAATCAATGGGATTTTCTCGCGAAACGAAAGGAGACGACAAAGCCTCAAGATAAATTTTGAGTAAAAGAGGATGGAATTTTCATTAGAAAAAATAATTACACCCAAGGGCTATTCAGGAGAATTACTAAAGCAAAATAGATTTTCAAGATGATAAAATAGCTTTTATAAAACTCAGGTAATCGATGTCAATACAGTTATTAGAGTTATTCTCTTTAGAAATATTTTCCAAAGCGTAAACATTTCGAGTGCTTCGTTCTTTTTACTAGTGCATCTGCCGATTGCCAAGAGTGTGGGAGTTACGTACAAAATGTGTTCTCATTCGTGCCCAGCTCACTCGCTACTTTTAGCTTGCTGCTTGTAATGATTTTTCAAGTTCACCTGACAGTCTGCGGGAAAGAAGGTAAGATGCAGCTTTTTGGGTGACTTAAAGCCGTGTTTTTGCGTGTAGTTGAAGATGGATGAACTCCAAGCAATCATGAAACAAAGGCTCACTTCCTGAAGAGAAAGAAGAATTAAAAAAATTGTAAAGGGGGTAAGTTTCTAATAGAAAAACCGCGGTGCTGCGTCGGTGGGAGAGTATAACAAGGTAATTTAGTATCAACAACTTAGTTGATAACGTAAATTGGCTACCGTAAAGAGGCTGGTGCTTCGAACGTTACCCCTTCGTCAGAGCGAAGGGCTGATGCTCGGTTTGTGGTTTATCTTTAAGATAAGATAATAGAAGGAGTTACATAAATGCTCGAGGCATAGCCAGAATTGTTAATACCAATATCATGAATGATTAAAGATTCAATTTCAGATCTATTTCTTATTTTTTAACCCAACACTAAAAAGGAACCGAAAAGGAGACCGGAACAGACTCAGGCTTTACAACTCATCTGTAATGTATTGTTAGAAGAAATAACATGTTGAGATGCTGGCTGGCTGAACTTGATGGCATTTAATTACGTTTACCTCATTTATATTCTCTATGATAATGACAGTAATTTCAAGCTTGTGTTGCAGTTCTCTTTTTTTTTCTCACTAATGAACTTGGCGCTTGTGAGCGGACTGTCAGTATCGCAGACCGATTATCTTCTGATAATTTTTTTTACAAAAAATGGACAGATTTGAGCATTTTTCATTGAAAATTCTGTCTCGTGAAAAAAAGTAGTCATGCTGTTTTTTTTTTGTTTTTTTTTAGTACTGATACTCTCTGTCCTCTTAGATATTTTTCTGATACTGAAATACAACGAAATGCATTTTTTAAACACATTTTACATAATAAAGAGTTTCGATAACATGTTTGGTTGTCAAATTGTTGTGTTTACAACACGTCAAGACGTTGCTTTTGTGGGAGAACGGTTCAGTACTGCAGTGTACCCGATCTAAACAAACCAGCAGACACGAGATATTTTAAATTGCTGACAGAACAAGCATAAATATCTCAACCATGTAACTGCGTTCTCGAGCAACCGAGATCTTAAAGTTTACGATATCGGATATTTTCTAAAACTAAGAGTAACTGTTATGGACCTATCCTTCAGAAAGAAATATGAGGCTTACCAGTCAATACTTCTTTACTGCTTGTAATTGCACGAGTAGCAAAATCTTTACAAAAGGAGGATATTGTTCCTAAACAAGGAGAAAATTTTAAGTCAAAGAAGAATACACTTCGTGTCTTCACCAGCTTCGAGGGCAGTTTACGATGAAGTTTGTCGCAGGTAGGTGAAATCCACTTTTCAGTCGCAACTTTTGTTTTCATGGCCTAAATTGAACCTGATATCAATAACGTCTTGATGATCTATTAAATCTCTTTTGTATCAGCAGTCTCAATGCCTTACATGGAAAGGGATTTGAATATTCTGGCTAGTTGACGTGCAAATGAATGTGTCGTGGGAACAATTTTAAACTCAATGGTTGACTGAAAACCACTTTAAACGTTTATAAATACCTTCATATATAATTCTAACAAAAAAAATAATCCGCATTCTGTTTTAGAAACGTTGATTTTGTGATACACTTGACACGTAGGCCTGTGAGATTTTATCAAAGAAAAAGTGAGTCTTTAACTGAGTTCCAATTGCCCGGTCTATCGGAGTTTCCTTCTTTCGGCTTTCAAATGCGTTATTTAATCAAACATTGTCTATTTTTAGCAAGCTACAGTATGAGGTGTACTGTTACTTCATTATATTAACTGATATGCGCGCATCAGAATTGCGGGAACCTAATAATAATGCAAAACTGACCTGAAAATAATAGTAATGATGAAAAACAAGACACATTTAATTGCGATCGGCCACCTGTTGTGTCTTGGCTGGCAAACTGAGGTGATTTTTCAGCAGTACTGTTATAATATTATTTTGTTTTAATGCCATGCACCGGTATGAAACAGAATTCATTTTCATCATAAGTGAATGATATACTTTTCAGAATGTCCGTCGAGAGACGATTAGGTCCTTTATTGAAATAAACCTGTTAAGCAATAGTGTAACAATAAAGGTTCCTAGAAATATAAAATTGACAAGTTGTTAGTCATATTCAGCATCAACTAGGAAGTTTTCACTGCAGAAAAGTACATTATTTTGGTTATTTTATCTTAATATGTTGGGCACTGAGATAAAGGCGCCATACCATACCACGTACTACTTAAACGTAGACAAACTTAGAATGGTGAACCAGAAAAAAGATTCTTAAATGAGAGTCCTTACTCCGTCGCGTTCAAACTATTAATTCCACTGGCATTCAGAGAACACCGTCATAACTAAATCATTGAAATAAGCTTGATCAGGTGCCCTTTTTATTAGGAAGTCCCCGTATCTTTTTACTATTGACCACAAACATGGTAACTTTGAATTCCTGCTTGATCCACCGATTCAGACAAGGCATCTCTGAATAGATCTTCGTCTTAAATCTGCCGTGTTTATGTTTCGTAGGAAACATTGAAATGGCATTGAAAACTGGTGTAAAAGGTTGATATGATCTTGGTAGACTTGGTGCTTCAAAGGCTATCAGATCTGATTTTGCAAAAAAGAAGATAAGAGAAATTGCTGATAAATACGTATCAAAAAAATTAGATCCTCTTCATCAAAGTGGTCAGATTGATTATTCAAAATGGTGTCCAATGAGTATGTATTCACCTCAAGGTGTAAATGATCCAAAAGATCCATTATATAAAGGTGGCAGTCTTGATATCCACAAAGCAATTGGTAAATTATCAAAACCAAAATCAGGTTTCACACTTTCTGGACATAAACACACAGGACCATACAACCCACTTGACAAACAACTGAAATATGAAAAAAACGTTGGTCAAATACTTGACAGATGCCATTGCAATGCAGCATAATGTTGACTCTTCTGTATCCAAAGATAACAAAAAGTGCGAAAATGAAGCAGATCGAAAATGGTCAAAGCTCTTGATGCAGTTCCATATAATGAAAGAAAATGGGGAAATTTCTTGGCGCGAAACATGATAAACACAAAACATAAAGTTGGTCTTAGTGTTTCAAAAAACAAAAAAAGCCGTCGAGTAAAGAAATACGATGGCAACAACAATTAGCAGAGGAATTACACAAACCAATGATGACGGATTTTACTCGACGACGTGTTATTGTAAATCAGATTGATGAAGTATGGAGTGCAGACCTTGCTGATATGCAAAATTATCTGCTTATGGTTACTGATGTGTTCAAATATGCTTGGATAAAACCTTTAAAAGACAAGAAAGGTGAAACTGAAATTAAAGCATTTAAGACCATCTTCAAAGAAGGGAGACAACCACAATGCGTGTGGATTGATAAGGGTAAGGAGTTCTATAATAAACATCTTAAAGAGTTTTTAGATAAACATGATATAGCAATATACTCAACAGAAAATGAAGAAAACTCAAGCTTTGTTGAAAGATGGAACCGAACAATAAAACAGAGAATGTGGAAACAGTTCAAAGCTCAAGGCAACACAAAATAAGAAGAACAAAAGCAAACTATATGTCTAAAAAGAATGGTATTGTGATATTTGTAATAACAGTCATGATTATAAACTTGGTGAACACATAAAAAAGTAAGAAGCATCAAAAAATACACAAAAATAATCTTATTTTAAAACGTTTTATTCAATTTTTAAAGCAGATTAAATAAGACATATAAAAATTATTTATTACAATATAGTACGATGAAAATTAACGAATCGAATAATATGTTGAATAAAAAAATATTTGAAGAATTGTCCTAGTCTCAATTAATAAAATTATTGTTGGAAAAAATGTGAAACCAGAAAGACCCTAGGACCAATTCCAGCACCACGAAAAAGTGTCAAACAGATGTTGCAAGAATATAAAGATAATATTATTCCTCAATGCACCACTTGAATTTAGAGATGGATGGAAACCAACACCCAAACCAAGAACAATAAAAAATGTTGTATCAGTTACAGCATCAAGAACAAAAATTGAAGAAAAAAGTAAAGCTCACAAAGGATATACCAAATCATTTAAAATAACAATCAGAAATGATATAGATCCATTAAGCAAAACATGGAAACGGAAGCAGGAAAAGCAATTCAATACAGACTGACACAATAAATGAAAGAAACGAAAGGTTTGAAATTTGTTGAGACCATCCGCATCACATTTGAAAAGATGTCACAAGATGGTATATCAAATGAAACAGCTTATTTCAACAATGCAGCCAAAACTGTAATGAATGTTTTTGATTTAGAAGACGATCTTACAATTTTCACCAAGAGATTCAAACAAGATTACAACATGAATATCTCAGGGCTCTGGATGGACAATCAAATCTGTCAATGGACATTGGATAAATATTGTGCAATACAATGCTGTAAAAAGATCTTCACACATCAAACTTCCATCTGAATTGATAAATTGCGCAGAAGGATCGATCAACATTAAAACCAAAGACAATGAATGTTTCCGATGGTGTCACATGTTAAACCGCAAGATAAGGATCCTCAAAAAATTTGAAAAAACTACAAGCATCATATATATTAATAAATTCTTGTACTTGTACTATATAAGTGTGTGTGTGTGTTGTTTTCCCTTTTTTCTTCTTAATTTCTATTTTGTTTGTAAACGTAAGAAATTCTTCAATAAAAAGAATAATAATAAAAAAATATATTAATATATATTAATAAATTAGATTATTCAAATATTGAATTTCCAGTATCTGTGAAGCAATACAACAAAATTGAAAAGCAGAACAACATCAAGTTTTATGTTGTTTATAAGTTACGCTTATGGACATTTCAAATCATTAGATCACACTAAAGTAGTCTCACCATCTTCGATAAACTTTTGTAGCAAACTTTATTTTAAAATCTTATATAAAAAATGAACGACTTCCTTTTTATTCATTAGGTAAATGCTTAGGATATAGGAAGTTGGACGTGACTTCACACAACCTACTATTTTCAAAATCAGAAGCAAGAACCATCAACTTGGTAGTTACGAACTAAATCAAGTTTCCTTTTCATGCTTTGATGATAAGTGATATTTACATGAAGATGGAATAATGAGGTACGCTTATGGACATTTCAAATGTTAGATCACTCTTTCGATATCGCACACCTGAAGTTATCTTTAGGGGAATGCCATATTGCCATTATTATTGTCTTCACGCAATAACGTCATTGCCGGTCATGAATAAGTCTACTTGTGTTTATTTTTGTCTGCTGGAGTGTAATGAATGTTGTTATCGTATTAGACAACAATCAAAATAATATATTACCATATAGGAGTAGGTTCCTACAGATGCCAAAGGTTGAAATTCAAGGAATTTTTAATGACTTGGAAGGCCAAGTTTTAGAAAATTGAAGGACCACTTTTGGAAAGGTTTGCATAAGCAATTTTAAAATTATTTAACATTATTTCTCAGCTTTTCCATGAAAGTACTGTAATTTTCAACTTGGAAATTGCTAAAGAAAACACATTGCAAAAATCAAGCCCTAGTCTTCAAATTCAATTCCTTTCAAGGCCTTGAATTTTTATTTTTAAATAAAGGATTTTCAAGGATTTTCAAGGCTTTTACGAACCCTGAATAGCTAATTCATTTGCCTTTAACTGCAAGGAGAAGGGAATTTTTAATCTATTATTGGTACCGAGTCGTAGTTTGTTGCCAAATGTTCACCCAAGGAGAGTTGTCAGAAATCAGTAGATTGAAGCAATATTACTGTTCAATAGTTCATATTGTTTTTAATAGAAAAATCTCTGAAACCACCGCAACATTGTATAGCTAGATTGAGTGTTCTTGGTAGAGAATCAATTTTTGGAATTACGCATAACAAAACTGTAACAAAATGTTAGAGATGTTTCAATATTTGGTATCAATGCTGTGTTCTTTTCCTATGTATTGATCGGAAACAACGTCAAATGGGTCTAACCGAGGAATTATTCATAAGTTATTACATGAGGTTCAATGTTCTCTCTTCAGTTTCTTGGATGATCAGTTCTTGTTAATATTTTAAATGACATTTTAACAGAATCTGACTCACATAAAACAAAGGTTGACATATATATGTTATCGTTGTCGCCAAGGGAAATATTCATGTTGGCGGTGATTTCGTCTCTTCATTCGATCTTCTTCTTTTGTAGGATAACAGAGAGAACTGTGGAATTGTCGTCATATTCCACCGTAAAGTTAACTGAAACAAACTTGAATACGTCTGATTTCCAATATTCATTATTGACACGATATCATTAGCAGAATTGATTCCTTGTTTGTTACTGTAAATCAAAGCGCATAAAGTCATTGCAACACATTGTTGTCCTTAATTTTGTCTAAATACCAACTCATTAGCTTGGCTGAATGGCGCAGGGGTTTTTCTCTATATCTGAACTCAGTTGAAATTTGCAATAGTTTGATACGTGTGTCTGACTCTTATAAAGACACATGGGTCTATTACAAGAAACATTGATAAATACCAACTTGCTCCAATATTCATTATTGACACGAGATCATTAGCAGAATTGATTCCTTGTTTGTTACTGTAAATCAAAGAGCATAAAGTCATTGCAACACATTGTTGTCCTGAATTTTGTCTAAATACTAACTCACTAGCTTGGCTGTATGGTGCAGGGGTTTTTCTCTATATCCGAACTCAGTTGAAATTTACAATAGTTTGATACGTGTGTCTGACTCTTATAAAGACACATGGGACTATTACAAGAAACATTGATAAATACCGACTTGCTCTATGCTTCAACTTAATTATCCTTTGATATACCCTCACAGAACAATTCAACAAATACTACTTCTCATGTTGTGAAACTTTATTTAATATTACCCTCTTCGTATGAAGCCTACAAACATTCTTTGTAACTCTTCTAACCTTCACATAACGACGTAGCCAAGAGGACTTCGGTATGCTTGGACGAAAACACTCATAAACGAATTCCCTCGGTTTTCTGCCCTTTCTTCTGAGACGTTTCAGAGTAGCTTCTGGTATTCTACTGGGTTCTCGATCACGTCTAAATACACGATTGTGTTTATATGTAAACATGATATGAGATAGCTCGTTTGATATAGCAGGTTTCGCTTGATATTTCCCGATAGAAGGTTCACTCGTAAAGGATCACTCGTAAATTGATCTCTCGTAAAGTTCGCGGACCGAACCATTCCCAAAACGCTCCACAAGTCTTAGTGTGGGTCTACCGCGAACGGTGTGTGACTTTGTATGTATATTGAGCGTAGTAGCCATCGAATTTCTTCCGCGTACATCAAGCAAGGAATTGTCCACGAAGGCAGCCATTGCTTTAAACCATGTGCTCTAAGGTTCATTCTACGCATGCGCTTACACTTCACGCAACCGTAGTGGAACCGCGTTTTGTAACTGAACGCAAAAAAAAACAATAGAATAAAACGAATTTATAACTCTGGCGTTTCCTTCGGAGAGCCCGAGTAATGAAAACATTGATGACTCTCCGCCCGCGTAAATTTTGGTCATGTGCTAGGCAACATATAATCGAGAACAAGTAACATTTCATCCCAGGCCCATTTAACAATTTTGTGGTGTACAACTATCGCATTTGATTTGGTAAACTATCGCATTTGAGTTGGTTTGGCGAAAATATGCCCCATAGGTTTTTGAACAACTTTAAGGTTGTGGCTATTCAAAATTCTCTTGATGGGTTTCGTAACACCCTGAATGTAGGGAATAACAGCAAAACCAGTCGCTGGTTCCCTTTCATCAAGAGCTTTACTCGATTCGAAGGCTGAGGAGAGGAAATATGTTTCCAATGTCCTAAAGGCAAATGGCTATACAAAAACCTGCCAAAAACCAGTTACAACCTAAGGATCCTGTCACGAAAGAACAACGAACTGACGCCATCTATTCTATTCCTTGCAATGACTATGACAACGAATACATCGGACAGACCAAACGTCAGTTTGGTACACGTTTAAAAGAGCACCAAAAGGCGGTTTTCCTTTGCAAAAAGGAAAATTCAGCTTTATCGGAGCACATATGCCTAACTAACCATGCAATTGGATGGGATAATTCTAAAATTATCTCCACTAATTGGCGTTACCGCCAGCGCTTTTGTTTGGAGACTTGGCATATTAACACCGCCCACGCTCCTTTAAATCGTGACGATGGCGGTTTGCTTCCTGACGCCCATTTACACCTCGTCAGAAAAAACGGCCGCTAATTAGTGATCATATAAAAGTACCTCTTGTTGCAGCGTTTAGATCACCCCTGATGAAGGCACTAGACAGGAGTGTCGAAACGTTGGGTCTATGAATTGAAACTTCTTCGGTTACATTCATTAAATCTGTAAACCAGAGTAGCATCAAACCATGTCTGAATATCGCTGTCCTTACACACACGTAATAAAAATTCCAGCTGAACAACTGCGTACAATTTTGTACAGAAAATCTGTGAATAGCTGAGCTTTAAAAAACATGCACAGCAATTTATAGGTTATTAGCAAACGTGCTTCATTTGCATAGTGTTTACAGCCCAACGAGCGATCGAGCGACCGCATTTTCCCATTACCCTCAATAACTCGTGTTACGCATCCGCAATTCACGAGTTTAAAATAAACAACTTCCTGTTCATTCATTGAGATAAATGCGTGGGATATAGAGAGTTGCGCGTGACTTCACACAACCTACTATATTCAAAATTAGAAGCAAGAACCATCAACTTGGTAGTTACGAACTAAATTAAGTGTTATTGTCACGCTTCGATGATAGGAGATAAATACATGAAGGTGGAATGATGAGTTACGCTTGACTATGCTATTACCACAAAACTATTGGATATTATATGGGGCCAGTAGAATAGTAGTTGGGTGGTTCTACCCAACTACAGTACTACCATTATGAATCTGATCTGATTTTAGTTCACTCGAGCATGGAAGAAAATAAAGAGTTGTTTGGAACATAAAATGAAGAAGACCAGCAGTATGCGGTCGAAACGTCGCGATCTACATCACACGTGACAACATCGTGAGTCAAACGAAAAACTTAGCTTTTATTGTTATTCACCACGATGAATAACCACAACTTATCTTTACGAAAGTATTTGGCACTTTTTCAAAAGAAGACGTCTTACTTAACATCATCATTATCATTATCTAAAGAAACAATTTTGAGAAATTAAACTATCATGTAAGGTCTGCGTTCTGCAATACTTTTCGTCGCAGTTATACCAACACGGGCCATGAAATTTTCAGCCTTTGTTGTAACAGTGCGATGCACAGATTATTTCAAATGAAAAATGAAGTGTCAAATTTCATCCCGCTTCCTGACCTCTTTGACGCAATTCATTCTTTTGAACAATTCATAATCACCATTAAGAAAGTATAAATATCTTCTCTTGTCACCGTGCAATAACAACATTTTAACGTTTTTTTTTCACCACACCAGAGAACTTTCTGAATGTTTTAATGAGTTATCATCGTCATTATCATCATCTGAAGAAACAATTTTGAGAAATTATACTATCCTCAGTGTTAGGTCTGCGTTCTGCAATACTTTTCGTCGCAGTAATACCAACACGGGCCATGAAATGTTCGGCCTTGGTTGTAAGCAGTGCGATGCACAGATTACTTCAAATGAAAAATGAAGTGTCAAATTTCTTCCCGGTTCCTGACCTCTTTGACGTAATTCAATCTTTTGAACAATTCATAATCACAATCAAGAAAGTATAAATATCTTCCCTTGTCACCGTGCAATGAAAACATTTTAACATTCTCCCTTTCACCACACGAGAGAACTTTCTCAAGGATCATTAGCCTATTCGTAAGTATGGTGATTGTTACTT